TGTAGAAACTTAGCTTTATTTCTGCTATAGTACCATTTGGTCCCCAGAGATGGTTCTGTTTTATAGTATTTGCTTGGCAGATACAAAGAGGTGCTGTGTATTTTCTATTTATAGCTCATAAATATTGAGATTAGCTTTCACACATAATGGACTGGACTATGGGCCCCTTTTTCTTCACGCCTGTATCTGCAGCTTTCTGCAGAAGGAAGAGCATGTTGATGCAGTGACAATCCTCTTCTCCTTCCAGTTCTTCCTAAGCATTAATTTGGCATAAATAGGTACGCTTTAGGGTCTGCTATAATATTTGCTACTTGGCAACAGTCCCTAAGGCAATACCTGAGCCCATGCCAGCTAGGACATCTCCTCCCCATTGAACCTCTGGGTTTGGTCAGGGGGAGTGGTGGCAGGCAGCAGTGCTGAGGAGGTAAGGGGATGGTACATTGCTTGCTACTAGGATGCATTCCTGGTAAAAAAATTTCCACTGAAAGCTAAGCATACTGAAATAGTACACAGAGAACAAAACCACATTATCTTTCAAAGGTTTCAAACCATACTGAAATTAATCCTGAAAAGATGATAGGCTATGTTAAAGCTTATACTTATTATCAGCTACTAAGGGATGACTTTGTGAGACAAAACAGTATTGTGCCAGTAATACATAGAGCCGCTGAAGTTCTTAAAAAAAAAAAAAGGCATTTAAGCCGAAGGGCCTGGGTAGCTACACACCCATAACAACAGCCTGTCCAGGTGCCAGACCCAACCTCTTCTGAAGGTTCAGAGGGAAAATGCTTTTCAATGTATTCAGGCAATTTATTTCAACAATTCACTTGGTCAAAGCAGGGAAAGCTGCTGGGAGTTGAAATGAAAGCTTTTATTTTATGTTAGGAACAAAAATGAATACAAATGGAGGGTACGACTAAATACATGGAAATCTATAGAAATGCCTGCATAAATGTGTGTTAATATTGGAAATCTTCCTATGTAATAAAAAGAAGCACTATATTTATTGCACAGACCTCAGATGTGCTGAGGATTAAACAATCATTTTTTCTTTAGATAATAAATAAAAACTACAAATACAAAATGAGATTAAAATTAATTTAGATAAAAGTTTCATACTGATTTAAATGCGTATGTGAAAACACTACCACTTTGATTAAAATGAGTATCTCGTAGGGAAGCTGCAGATAATTCCTGCCCTCTTTCTGGTCCAGAAGGGATTGTAAACCTGAATAAAGTATCATAATTCATAGACAACCCTTGTGAACTGAACGGCACTGCTGAGCTGCATTGTGCCCTTATGGAGGAATTAGTCAGGCTATGTCTCTATGGCCTGTTTGGAGAGATTAAACTGCAGTCTGGCTTTGAAATTGTCTAATTTTGCAAATCACCTAAATGAAATAAAAAAACCCAAACAAACACTAACACAGTGACTTGGGAGTCTAAGTTTCCTTGATTTGCTGTAAGACCTGAGCTTCTAAGTCTTGTAGACATTTTGGGTGAAGGATACCTATAAAGCCATGTAACCCAAGTTTACCAAATTCAGACAAATAAAAATAATCTCTTTGCAGCTTACATTCCTACATATCACCTGCCAGATGTCAGACGTATTAAAAATGCATTTGAATATAATTTAAATAATTAAAATGCCATTTTAAAACATGCATAATTGTTTGCCAGAGGCCCTTGCCCAACAGAAGTAATAATTTCCACTTGTTGTGGTGACTTGATGAGCTCAGGCTGAACCGTTCCAGTGTTTGAGCCAAGGTTTGCTTTAGTCACAGCCTGATGTTGCAATTAAGCTTAAGACCTGGGAGTTTATTGCTCAAATGGGTGATCTGGTTTTGTTAAAAGGAGTCTAATGAATTTGATGATTAGTCTGTTGTCTTGCATTGTCTGTTTCCGAAGTAATTTGTGCTTGGCTTTTGACTAAGAATATTTATGGAAAAGTTCAAAATGCTGGAGATATAGGCTTTTTTTTGCAACTGTAGTAACCATTAAATAGGATATAAACACTGACTAGCAGGATTAAGGTTTCACCAGTGGAAGCCCTGTGGAACTGCTAGGAAAGGTAGTACTCTCAATCTGCTTTGATTAGTCTCTTGCTTTTGATAGGTACTTTTGTAACTGGGCTCTCTATCTGCCCAACATAAATATACATGCTAAAAATCAAGCACGCATTTAAGTTTGACCACAATAACAGATTTAGTAAATTTCTAAACAGAAGTTCAGAAGGCTACTGAGCCACAGCGACTGGTTCTTTGCACTGGGACTAAAGATTAACATAAATGCTAAATTTTTCTACACTGCAGAGGTGCAAAGGTATAGCAGATATTTACTAGCAGAAGTAAGAGGCAAGATGTGGAGAGAAGCGGCCAGAAGGAAACGGCGAGGTCGCCGCTGCTGCGCTGCGAACGCTCGGCACCGCTGTGTCAGACTCTGCAGGAGCCAGGGCTTTGCTCCTCCTTTCTGCAGGGCAGGTAACTCCACGGAAAGGCATAAAGGTTGGATGCAAGAGAAAGCAGAGACCTTCCCAAACGTCTGTCTTCTGCTTTTCCAGCATCTTCTCCACAATAGGAGACAATAACAAAAAGACATACTCTAAACTCAAAAAAACAGATACTTTTTGCCTATTTTTGACAAACTTCTAAGATTTTTCCCCCATCTGTGTCAACTAAATAATTTTCACCTCTTGCTAATGGCTTTCCCTTGGTGACAGTAAGTGCTGTTGAGTATATAGGTAACATTCAGTTTGAAGATCACATTTGATTGTTAGCATTTTCCCACCTCCACTGCAATGCAAAACTTTCCATTTTGCAAAACGAAAAGCCATTTTAATATCTAGAGAAAATAACAAAAGTAGTGGGGAAAGTGTTCGCTAATCGTGATAAAATCCCGTCACCTTCATTACCACCTAGCAATACTGTACTTTTTTACTGTATTCTTTAGTGTGAATAATGACAACAGAATCTCAGCTTGATTTCAAAAGTTATTTCTGTATAATTTATTCAAAAGATAAATTCCCTAATGAAAGATACTCGATCTACTTTAAACCAACACTATTACATCTATAATTACTGCCTCAGGAATACCATACTAACTGCCATTTATCACTGTCAGCGACTTTTGAATTCCTGCTACAACCATGGTATCCCATTGGGTTTGTTTGTCTCCGAGAGAACATGATGTTTCTAGTTTGGCATGGCCTTAAAAAAGGAGAACAAAACCTGTCATCCCCTAAAAATACATTTAAATGTCCTCTATGTGCTTCAGCCCATTCATTTCCTCAAAGTTATTTCCAACACAGTGCATTAGGTTTTCCATCTGAAGTTTGTAGAAGGTCTTCAGTTCATTAGTGCTTCCCCTGCCCCTTCCTTTCTTTTCTTATGAGCTGAGTACTCATTATCCATCACATTTCTTGCAAAACTTGGGAAAGAATATAGATGGTCTGGCTCTCAGAGCTACACTTGAGCCAAAAAACCCCACACTTCCCATTATGAGAATCTAATCTTTCATTAGGAAACAACTGAGAAGTAAATGTGCTTGAGAACATTAATTTGCAATTGGTTCAGTACCAGCATTAGGGAAACTATTAGTGGTGCATCCTAATCTAGTACCCATTTTAGACAAGAAAAAGCTAGACTTCATTGAGGTAACGGCTACAACAATATTTTGATGTCTTTTACTTTATTAGGTCTGTTGCTGTGCAGTGGAAGACTTTAGAAGCAAGTAAAATAAAAAAAAGATAACTGGTTACTGATAAGAGATTTTGCTTCCCTCACTTTGTGAAGGTCCTCCTGTTATCGTTCATCAAAAGTGGTAAATAAAACCTTCAGGCTTGCTTTTAGCAGGTTCCCATTTCTCTGTGTATTTTGGATATAACTCTCATCTTGTGCTAAGATTATATAAAAATAAAAGCAAAACATTTTTTTCTTGTCACTTGCTAATTCAAAATTGGCAATTGCATCGTCTTGGAGTTGCAAGATTGCAAATTGGCAATTGCATCATGTGTGCTAGTGATAGCTGTAAAAGTTTTCGGTTCTAGAGCTGTGCTGGAAATATCCTTATTCTCAATGGTTGGTAGAAACTGCCTCTTTTAAACAGAAGGTATATAAAATAAAATTATCTTGGAAAGACCTCTCCTTATAAAGCATCTTGTTATTTAATTTGGTCTCAGCTAATAGGCAATTTGGACAGCAATTTCTGTCCAAATTCCAGACACAGGAGAGAACAGAATCCTACACAGAGCTCCACCATGTCCCTGGGACACAGCCCTACCACAGAGACACAGTCCCGAGGTCACGTGTGCTGACTGCACCCTCCCTTGGAGATGGCATACATCATCTCACTCACGGTGTGTATAGCCTTACTCTAAGGAAAGACTACGAGGACTACTGGTAGGTACCGAGAATGTTGGAGATATCAACCTCAATGACTACCACAAGCGCAAGACTGTCATTTTGATTGCTGGTGTACATGCAAATGCAGAGCACTCCCAACTCTGTGCATGGGACCAATCATACCGGAGCCCTTCAAATGTAGAAATAATTATCCTAGCACCTCAACCAGCAGTCAGCATGGTGGCCTGTGGAGAGTTCCTCTGTTATGTGTTATCAGTAACATTGCAGGGAAATAGTCACATTTTGTGAGATTATACAGACAATAGGAATAGTAGTCAGATTTTTTTTTGTTGCCTGAATAGTCTGTATTTATCTCCAGGCAACAGGAGAGAAGTACAGAGAGCTTGCACTGTCATCTGACTGTTTAACACTTCAGACCTTGTCTTGGAGTGGAATGCAATGTATAATGAAATTCCTTTAAGCTAGAATGAGTTCTCATATACTCAGTCATATCCTAAATTTCAGAAAAAACAAACTGCATTTTTCAGACAGTGAACAAGAGCCTTTACCTTCTCAACCAAGAGATCTCCAATGGAAAATGAGGTCATTTTCTGCCTTTACAAGCCTGCAAAATCTACAAGCAGATTTTCATGCACATACCTGATAGTCCACCGACATCCATCTTCTTCAGGTTCTTTGCCTCCAGAATGACGACAGTCAGTTTGCCAGCAGTAGGCACATAACGGAGGGAGAAGCAGATATCACCCAGCTTTTCTTGCTGTGAAAGCAAATAGGACATGGTGTTATATTTTAATCATTTTTTGTACCTTATAAAAATGCAATTTTGAAAGCCCCACAGAAAATTAACAGGATTACATCTCAAACTCCTACTGTTAAACAAAAAGTTCAAATGAACAATATGAGGTATCATCTGCCACAAGTTGCCCAGTGTAAATCCTTGATAACCTCAAGTCCGTTGCAGCAACTGGAGTCCACAGCAACTATCCTACAGGGAGCTAAATGACAAGATATGTGCTGGCTGCAAAGTAAATTATACTGCTCAGCATTTCACCCTGACAGTCAGGGTCCCAAAAATAGTTTACCCTTTAAAACAAGTTATGACTGTTTTGTTTTTTTTTTTTTTCCCCCGGTGGTGTTTCAGTGGAAATCAATTAACACACACGCATACACAACTACGAGACTGTTTTCTGTGAAACAGTAACATGGGTCTTTCTCGCCACACTTTGTCACAAAAGTAGAAAGTATAAAAACACGAAGTGCAAAACATTCAGTATAAAAAAAGACTTGTCTCCTATTTGACAGGCAAAAGGGAAAAAAAAAAAAAAGGCACATATAGACCAGGAAAGCACACAGTGCACCTCTCCTCCCATCAGGAACAGCTGGAAGGATTTGGTTTTGCCTTTCAGCCTTGCAGTCTATCATCTGGGATCCTGCCAAATGCAACCTTTTGCAGTTCACTGCTTAGTACCTTCCTAACAGTCCTGGCAAAGAGGGAAAGGATGAATTACGTTCAGAATTTCAGGAACTTTGTTTTAAAAGGAGGAATAATGAACTCACAGATATGAGAGAGTGAAAAAGAGGAGAATACTGCTTAGAAGGGATCACTAGGATGATCCAAGCTGCTTTCCTCCTTCCTTTCAAGGCATGACAGCATCTCCAGGTGGGTGACAAGGTTGCTTTTGAGACAAGACGAATCATGTTACACTGAACAGTCCAATAAAGCATTTCAGACAGCGATGTTTCTCTTTCAAAGACAGTAGCTCTTATGGCATATGTCTGTTTCCACAATTTATTCTGGCAGTAGAGTATAAAGTACATTTCTATGAAGATATATCTCTCTGGTTCCAGTGTTAGAATAAATTGGAACGTTGGTTGTTGAAAAGTTTTGGGTGTGTATCCAAGCTTTTTGTTAAGACACCAGGTAATTTTTTTCAGGAACTATGCACCTTTTCCCCGTACCACAAATGGAAAAGGAACATGGCAATTTACCTTCAAAGAGCCAAGGGGAAAGAGGCAAAGCCAGAACCTTACCTGAAAAGGTGGGGGAACACTACTGAGAGCAACTGGCTCACATATTCATGGATGTAGTGGGTATTTCCTAGAGAATAGACAGCCCATGTCCTAAGGACTTTACCATCCATGTAAAAGGAACCAAAATGTTCCTTTACAATTGGGAGCTCAAGCCTCCAAGTCATGTAAGAGAAAATGAACTTTATCCACTAAGCCAAGTTTTCAGCATCAGTGGCAGTTCTCTCAGTAGCTCTTACACACAATCACTTTTTATCCAAGTTTGGATAACCATCTGCAGTATATCCATCTGAAGGATGCGGGACAGACACCCAACTATACTTCAGAGTTTACATCTTCCTCCCTTACCAAAAGGTGTGTGGGCTTGTCTCAGACTTCCTTGGGGATGCAGCATTCTTTGTTGTTCCCAACAAAAAGCTGTATTATGTATATATTAGGAATGGCATCATGTAGTTATTGTTCCTTTTAATTTTAAAAAACTTAGAAACTGTAGTAATAATACAACACCTATAAAGTGACAGACTCTGAATTGATTATTACAAGTTGGGAATGAGACCCAGGGATTGTAATAGATACTTCCTTGCAAAACATCAGGTCAGTGATCACCAGTGGTCAGAAAATATACAGAACAAACACAGTTATGTATAATTAGGAAATGCTGAGAGAGAATGCAACAAAAGAGGTCGTGATGTTAAATATGTGTATCATGTATAAAAGCTCTGTCAGAATGCACACGTGCCAGTTTCTTGAAAACTGGTGCAGTTACAGTGTCCTCCCCACCTCAAAAAGGGTATGATAGAATTGTGAAAGA